GTGCGAGAAAACTTTAAACGAGAGTTTTATGGAACACTATCGCTTTGGTGCCTTCACTGAGAATATCCAAGGAGCAGCTTCTAAAACAATCCCGATACTGGAAAAGAAGCTGGTTCCACCCAGAGCTCAAAGACGGCAAACGGCAAGTCTCAAATTAGAACCCCGTGCTTTATGAACTAGTAAACAATCTTTACAAAGAGGAATGTAAGAAAGCCAAGGAATAGTGGCTATGGGAGAAATGTGATGAAGGCCTCTGGAGAAAAAAGTATTGATCACACATGGAACTTCCTGAATGATATCCATGAAACAGGCAGATTACCTAAAGAAATGATAAACTCAGTATTCATTGCCCTGCCGAAGGTCCCAGAAACACTTAAGTTCTCACAAAATCACACAATTAGTCTAATGTCGCTAGCTTCGTCATGAGAATGCTTGCCGAGAGAAGCATCCATCACCAGCAAAACATCTACATGGTTTTCATTGACTATCATATAGCCTTTGATAAGGGCTGTTATTTAAAATTGTTCAGAATCCTCGCAAATATCCGGATAGATGACAAAAAGATATGACTAATTCAGACAGTCTATCAAGATCAACTTGCCGCAGTCCGTCTATCTGATGGAACAGCTAACTGGTTCCCCATCAAGTGAGTTGTCTGACAAGGTTATGAGATGTCACTTGACCTCTTCAATTTATACTCAGATCGTCAGTATAAATTGCAGTGGAATTCTGGACCTGAGGAGTATGGAGCCACTCCTAGTCGCTAATGTTTCCACGTCCACTTCAACCGAGAGTGGAATACCTCTCAGGGTCACATCTATGGGAGGAATAGGAATAAGGGTAGAAGGGACTTCTTAGCCTTGGCTGGCAATCCTTCTAGAGGCAGTGTCTCAATAAAAACATTGTCAGGGAAGGGAACGGGAAACCTTTGTGTTTATGGCAGACATCTTAGGAAATGGCCCTCAGTCTCGTGGAAAAGACTGGGCATGTCAAGTGAATTAACAGGGAATAGAGGGTCATAGGGAAAATGGATGCCAAAAAGCACCTGTCGTAGGACAGAGCACTAGAAGAACGAATACATAAATATATATATACATATATATATATATATATATATATATATATATATATATATTTATTTATAGACACATGCACACACACGTGTGTGTGTGTTTGTGTATATGTGTATTTGTATATTTGTGTGTGTCTATGTAGGTTTATGTGTATGTTTGTAAGTGTGTATGTATCCCCGTGTGTTAAGTTCTGTGTTTTACAGAGAACATATGTATGTGTGCAAGTCTTTGTTTGTGTATGCGTGTATGTTTGAAAGTGGTTGAATTTATGTGAGGTTGTGTGCATACAGTTGAGTTGTTTTTGTGTACATGTATATTTGTCTATTAAATGTGTGTGCTTTTGTGTAATGTTTGCGCGTGAGCATATATTTGAATATGTGAGTGAATTTGTTTCAGAGAATATACATGTGTATTTGCGGTGTTAGTAGAGTGTGTGTATGCGTGTGTGTTTATGTGTACCTTTGCGTGGGCGTTTGAGTGTTTGTGTGTGTGCTTTCTTGTACCTGTATATGTGTTTACATATTCATTTGTGTTTATGTATATGTATTTCTGTTCTTATGTTCCTTTCTATGTGTTTGAGTGTTTTATATGTGTTTTATATATGTGTATATGTCTGTGGTTTCTTATGTGTATGTGCGTAGTTTTGTGTTGTATTTGTGTGTGTGTGTGTGTGTGTGTGTGTGTGTGTGTGTGTGTGCATGCACATTTGTGTTTATATGCGTGTGTGTGTGTGTGTGTGTGTGTGCATGCACATTTGTGTTTATATGTGTGTGTGTGCATCTACCTTTTGTGTATTTGCGCATTTTTGTTTATGTGTACGTGTGTCTGTGTTGTTTATGTGTATGTGTGTGCATATTTGATTGTGCATGTGAATTTGTATAGGCGTTTTTTTGTTGTTGTTGCTTATGTGTGTATTCCTTGTTGCTTACGTGTGTATGCTTATGAAAGTGTGGGTTTCTCTGTGTGTATAATTGTGTAGTGTGGGAACGTGTGTTTGTCCGCGCGTGTGTTTGTGTTTATTTTCGTGTGCAATTTAGTGTGTGTGTGTGTGTGTGTGTGTGTGTGTGTGTGTGTGTGTGTGTGTGTTATTGGTGCATTAATATCTGACCCGTTATGTTGTATGTGTGCGAGTATATTTCCATTAACAGTGTTATGTTTGTCTGTGTGCATTTGTGTGTGTATATCTTCATTTACCTGAATGCATTCTAACACATACTAAACAAAATACACACAACACATCAGAAAAATACAGAAACATACATATATACAAAAACCACATAAAATCACAAACAACAGAAGACACACAAACCCATACATGCTCAAATGCAAACACACAAACAAACGCACACAAACATACAAATTCACACATACATAGATACAAAGGTACACACAAACACACACATACACACACACTTTTAACGTAACACACGTATGCAGAGAGAAATACACCAAATAATATACACACTTTCGCGCGCTCACATTTCCACACTCCAAAGTATACACACGAACATTCAAAACGCAAATAATGGCATGCACAAGTACCTATGCAAACACACATACACATGCATACAAAGTCATACACTAACACAAATACATAGACACAAGCCTACAGATAGACACATGAACATATAAATACACACGCAGGGAAATGTATACACACAGCCACATACACACATGCAAATAGAGCACGATGCATATGTAGACAAAATCGTGCGCTTAAAACACATAACATAAATGCAATGAAAACACGAACACATACTCACATATAAGTATATGCATACTCGAATGCACAGCCCATACAGACAGACCATACATGCGATGGATATTTCAAACGCACAAACAGATAAGTGTACGCACATCTATAGAGGCAAATGCATATACTCAGATACACACATGTCCAAACACGCACACACACACACACACACACACACACACACAGACAAACGCACACAAATGTAAACCCTGAAATGAACTCAAATTTGCGTATACGGACACACACATGCACATGTTTGTCTGTCTTTCTCTGTCTGTGTGTGTCACAAACAGGAAAACACACATGCACACACAGACAGGCACATTAATACACATATAAACACTCAAGAATACACATACACAATATAACACCCAAATGCAAACACACACAGACACATAACCCATCCAAATTAAGTGCAGTCATATAAATATACAGAAATGCACACACGCACACACACACACACACACACACACACACACACACACACACACACACACACACACACACACAAACAAACAGAAAAAAAAACACAAACACAAGTCATATATATTCATATTCACACAAACTTGCATGCACACGGAAGCTAACATGTGCACAGAGAGAAAAGTACACACACAAAAAGAAAGACCGACACAGAAATACATATATACACACAACCAACCCCGACACTCACATAAATGTAGAGACGTATACACGTACATAGATGGACACCGGTGTACATGTAAACTAACACACATTCTAATGCACATACATACACATACACATGCAAAAACACAGAATTATGCACACACATGCACAGACTTACAATCAGGCGCATGCAAAATTTGGCCTACGCACCTCCTCACATACATTCAAAACACACACATACACAGGCATACACATGCTCATACAAACTCATATCCATACATACGCACAAACACGCATACACGTACGCACCGACACAAAAATGCACACATACACTCAAGAGAAATGCACGTACATGACTCAAACACCGTAATGCACACCCACACAGACACACCACCATTGATACAGTTTCCACAATGACTGCCTTTATGGTTTACTTCTAGCAATATAATCGCTGTTTTTGTTATCATTCATTATTATCTTCTTCTTTTTTACACACACATACACACAAACATATAACTTTCTTGCCTTTCCGTTCCAGTACTACTTCCATAGAGGCGAATATCATGTCACAGAGTGTAATGCTTCACGCCCTTCTGAACCTCGTTTTCACGACGAACTTCACCCAAGACACAACGTTCCCGCCAGAAACCGTGGGAGGTAACGAGCCTACTTGTTTATTCACTAAACACGCTAGTGCATATACGTTTATCAGTTTTGTCCATTGTTTCCTTTTTTATGATCATATTTTGATAATCTTTTTAAAACTTTATAGCGATTTATAGTGATTTTATCATTATATTTATCCATTTATATTATTCCATTCATCTTCGTCCACTTCTTGTTTTCCTTCTTTTAAGTCTATCTTTGGTATTTTTCTTCTTTCAAACTTGAATTTGGTTAACCTGAACTTCTTCTTCTACTGGCTTGTTCCCTGTGCGGGGTTGCCGGTGCGGATCCGTTATCTATCTGTGTCCGCATCATGATTAGGTTGGCGCAGTGTTTTTATAACCGGATGCCCTTCCTGACGCCAACCCTTCTCCTTTATCCAGGCTTGGGACTGGCACCGAATTGTGCTGGCTTGCACCCCTCTGTGGCAGGTATTGAACAAAATACAAAAAAAGAGGAAATGTGAAGGGAATATATAAATAAATTAGATACTATCTTCATCTGCTTTCCTCTTTTTACATTAATTTCATATCACATGTTCACCGTTATTTAACAAAAGTGAAAAAAATGAAAGGAAACATTGAATATATGTTCATAAAACATACACACACAAGCCAACAAACACAAACATAGACACACACAAACAAACAAACACAGAAACGCATACACACACACACAAGCAAGCAAACCAACACATAGACACTCACACACAAGAAAGCAAACACACACACGCAAACAGACAAACAAACAAAGACATTCACACAGAAGCAAACAAACACACATAGACACACACACGACGATTTAGTTCTAATGACAAAGTACATCCACAGTACATGTAGGCAGTGATTTTTTTAAGCTGCTATTGCATTCCACGCACTCAGTGTCAAACTCTCAAAAACGCTTTTGCCCCAACATCAAGAAGGTGGAACCGGCCGCTCCCTAGCCCTCTGGTCGGAGTAATTCTGAATGTCTGAATGAGGCAGAATGGGAGTGTTTCTTTTTAGTTGAAGGTTGATCTAGCCACTAGGTGCGCAAACCAGCCAAAGTCAGTTTCGGTCCCAAAGCCCGGGTAAATGGAGAGGGATGGTGGCGTCAGGAAGGGCATCCGGTCATTAAAAAAAAAAAAAAAATGTCTGCAAGAACCAGATTGCATATCGACCCCATGATGAAGATACAGTTAAGAGTTATCTCAGTTAATTTACGATACGGCCGGGCAACACTTTCCGGGGACCAGTGCAGCTGCGATGCTTCAAGTACCGAGGTGCTGACGGCGGGTAAATGATGTCAGGGTTTTTTTCACCGTAACCCCTTCAATCAACATCGTAACCGTTATATCAGTGCGGTGATTTTAATCAGTGAAAGTGGATCACTGTATCACATTATACTATCGTATTCAGTGTAACATCAACGGTACTGTTACGATCACTATCCCGTTATAGTTATTAAAAATACTGTAATAACTGCAGTCATCGTATCTTTGCGTTCACTATACGCATACTACAATTCATCAGGGAAATGACTCGCCCAAATTGCTGCATTCAATACCGTTTAAAAAATGAAGCATAGCCGCGCCAAGTCGTATTCATCCCCCCCATGGAGAGAACCGTAGTCAGTCTGTGTAAGCTTTGTCCAGAGATGCAGTTCAACGCGCCGGGAAATTCCACTTGTGAAAAGCATATCACTCTACTGTATTTACCCTGAATGTGGTACGTGCCTGAAACTTTTGTTTTATCTTTATTTGTTTATTTATCTTAAGGGGGGGGGGGGGGGTAAGAGAAAGAAAAAAAAGGAAGGAAAATTAACAGGAAAGGAGTTCGGTATAATGAAAAAAGGGGGATTTTGACGGAAGAAAAGTAATAATGATGGTGAAAATACATATAATTTCTTTTTCTTTCAATTTATCTTCTCTCTTTCTTTCTCTCTCTCTCTCTCTCTCTCTCTCTCTCTCTCTCTCTCTCTCTCTCTTTCTCTCCTTCTCTTCTCCCCCCCCCCTTTCACTCGCTCGCTCTCTCCATTTCCATCTTTATCCGTTAAAGTTGTCAGTCAAATCATGTATTTCTACCAAAATATCTACATCAGTCTATTTACCACGTAACCTATCGATCTGACAGTCTCTCTGATCTGACATGCCACTCCTCACGCCCACCAGATTGCCACGGCGTCCTCGGCTGCTTTCCCGCGGGCGTCCCTCCGTGGGTGGGGCCAGAACGCCCAGTCTCGCTGCCGCCCTTGCCGCCCTCACAGATCACGCCTACGTTCTGCTTACACACGCCCGCGCGACCAGACTGTCATGTCAGTGCCCGTTCTAAATCCTATGACTTGAGAGGTGGTTGGTGCGTCTACGTTTGCATGTATGTGTATTTGTGAGTTTGCGTGTGTGTATGTGTGTGTGTGTGTGTGTGTGCGTGTATTTGTTTGTTTATATTTATTTCTGTGTCTGTGTGTATTTGTTTATTTGTGCGAATGTGTGTATGTATATGTATTTGTTTCTGTTTGCGTGTATGGGTGTTTGTGTGGTGTTTGTTTTATCTGTTTCTGCTTATGTGCTTGTGTTTGAGTGTGTGCGTTTGAAAGGGTTTTTTTTCTATGTATGTCCGTAAGCGTGTCGACATGTTGGGATGTATGTGTTTACTTGTGTGTGTGTGTTTGTTTTTTATGTATTTGCCTGTATGTTTACGTATTTCAATGAGTGTATTACTCCGTGTTGATGCACTAATATTCAAAGAAATTTCTTGATTTATGTACTTATCTGTCAATTTTCCTTTCTATCCAGCTAGATGTAAATGTTGTAACGAAATTATAGTTAACAAAATATAACAGGGGAAGATATATATTTCGTAATAACTGATACTCATATTATTTACTTTTACTTTCCTGTATCATTTCAGACCAGTTTATAATACATTATCATTACTATAATCATTATCACCATTATCATTCTTATCATTGTTATTGCTACTGCTATCATCATATCATGATCAAAATCATCATCAGGGTAGCATAATCATCATCGCCATCATCACCATTACTCTCATTATCGTTCTTATCAATGTTGCTACTACTGCTACCATCATCCCCTAATCACAATCATCATCACCGGGAGCACAATCACCACATCTTCCCCTTCGGTCCGCGCCCCAGTATTTCCCGGCAGATGGCCCTCTTCATGCTCCCCGCAGATGGCCCTCCTCATGCTCCCCGCAGATGGCCCTCCTCATGCTCCCCGCAGATGGCCCTCCTCATGCTCCCCGCAGATGGCCCTCCTCGTGCTCCCTGCAGATGGCCCTCCTCATGCTCCCCGCAGATGGCCCTCCTCGTGCTCCCTGCAGATGGCCCTCTTCATGCTCCCCGCAGATGGCCCTCTTCATGCTCCCCGCAGAT